TTTAATTTGCCAAGTCTGCCTAAAGTCATTAAAAACACACCAAAAACAAATCTTTGACAACAGAAAATTGAGAGGAATTCATACTTAAAAACATATTATTTTATACAATAAAGAACATTTTTAACAATAGTAATAGGTATCAGGCCGAATTACCTCTAGAATATATTTATATTTTGTGTATCAAAAAACAAGTTGCTGAGGGAGGGCAACTTCCAAAAGACAAAATTATAAATTACTTACAAAAAGCTAATAGTAAGAAAGAAAAGCTGAATTTTATTAAAAGTACTTACTATATGCAGCTCCAGGTAGTCCCCCAGGCCAGAAGAACTGTCCACGCGCACCAAAACAGCTTCTTTCTGAACAGTGCTAAACCCTATGGCCAGTCTGTCTGCTCGTGTACTTGGCCGATCATTAGGAGGCCACTTATACGTGATTTGTCCACCACCTTTGCTAAAGATATACGTTGTCCCAGCTGGAAAATAAAAACCAAAACCATTAGTCCAAATATGTCAAGTGCACACTTGCCCCATCTTTATTACATTGACATATCAGTAAAGTATTAAAGTTATGCCATGGTTAACAACAACAAAACCCTGCAAAGCAAATAAGCAAATAACAGATTTCAATCAAATACGCTTAAGAGACAGAAATAGTTTGTGTTGTTTTTTTTCCAAAAGAAATATCAAGGCAGTTCAATTTTTAAGACACTCATTAACTCTACCAGCAGGTGTTTCAGAACAAACAGGGGGATTACTGCATGTTCAACGGAGTTGGACAACCAGAAAACGTAATGGGATTTTATTTCTTCCTGCTAGTTTTTAAGAAATAGTTTAGTAGGAAACATTGAGTTTGGGTGCTTCCAAAAGGAGCAGAAACATATATCAACTTGTTTTTGAAACAAGAACTGCATGCAGGTGTGACAGGGTGGTACAGTACAGTGACACAAATTGCAAGAAATATGCTACAAATCAACTTTTTTATGGGGAAAGGGTCTAGTCACATATAACAGATGATCAACAGCCATAAGCCCCAGTAGTCATGTCAAGAAAAATACAGATA